CTTTTTAAAATTATGCAAAATTGCAAAACGCTGTGTCTCTAATCAAACCTCTGTAACTTTGCTCTGCTTCACTTCAGCAGCATCAGGTCATGTTTACGTGTTGATTAATGGTTTTCTTTCGTTTCTGATCTCCTGCAGAATATTTGTATAAATCCCAGACCAGGAAAATCTCCTTCATGTTGTTCTGTGTTTCATCCTCAGTTACTTTGACACAAAGGCCTCTGCTGTGATGCTCACACCTTTGATAAAGTCTCACAAGTGTCAGTTTTCTTTTTATAGATATAAAAATATGCAAATGTACTGATGCATGATCTGAATTATAATATTTCTGACTGTCTGAGGCAAAATTTCCCAGATTCAAATCGAATCGATTCTAGAAATCAGTGACGATACCCAGCTGTACTTTCCACCATGCTGGTGCCTCCTGGTTCATTTTTAACTGAATTACAATTTTTTAAACACATTATTACTGTGACTGCACGCCTGTTAAGCTCAGGTTAGCTAAAAACATGGTCAGCTTCTTGCATGACATCAGTTCTCTGCATGTTGTCTGCATTGCGTGACTTGGTGCACCGTCCTGTGCTGGAAGTGTTCGCACAGACTAAAGTCCAGTCGCAGCCGAACTTTGGACTTTGAGTCGTAGCCGTCGTTTCATCACGTTCAGGTGATTGGATTCATTTTGGAAGATTTAAAACGTTCTTTAAATACAGGAATTTACAACAAGTATCTTTGCCTGATTTGCTTTTCCAAACAGTTTCAGTCGAGTTTTAGTAAAATATTATAAGATGAAAGTCCAGAAATGATCTGAGGAGGCCTCAGTGACACAGAGCAATGTTCACTGACACAGAGCAATGTTCACTGACATCCTGCACAGCGCACACGAGGACAACTGAAAGGACTGAATCACGCCGTGAGCCGCTCCCTGTGGATCGCAGCACTCTGAACCCGTGTCAGGTACAGCAGGCTCAGGATTTCAAAGACGAAAGTCAGATATAAACTTTCTCTTACTTTTTCTTACTTTGAAGAACAAGTTCAAGTTCAAAACAGCTTTTAAGATTTCAAACTCCACAGCAAACGGAGCCCTCAGACGGGCTTTAAGATGTTTCACAACGCTTTAGAGAAACTCCAGCTGTGAGGAGCACGTGGAAATCAAATGAGAAAACGCTGCGGGTAGTTTAGGACTCGATGAGAAAGTAAATGAGAAGTGGCAGCGTAGACAGAGTTAACCCTCACCAAGATAAACACAGGTTACGCAAGCTGTTATAAGACAGATCAGAGAAGTGGGTGTGTGTGCGGGTGGGGGATGGGGTGGGTTGCAAATGTCAAAACAAGCTGCTATAAATAGAAAGCTATCCGTCCTTCTGAGGGCTACGTGTGCAGGTGAAAGGCACGCAGACGCGTCTAACCTCTTTCTTGCGGTTCTTCAGCACGTTCTGGTACTTGGCGAGTTCTTTCTCCTGCTCGCCTTTGATGCGTTTGGCCTCGTCTCTGAGCCGGCTGGTGTGCTCCTGCTCCAGCCTCTCAATCGTCTGCTTCTGCTGCCGCTCCAGGTTCTCCACCTCCTGGTCGTACTGTCGCTTCTTACTCTGGAGGACAGACGGGAACCAAACGTGAGCGTATATATTACTTATTAAACCTGCAATATTATCTGCATCAGATGAAAGAAACTAAAAACTATCAGGTGCAACACTTCCAGCAGTGAACTGAGCTTTTCCTGCAGCACCTTCACAGGAAGGGAAACAAGCTTTGCAGGTTATTGCCCCATAAACAGGCTGGGTGGCCTTCACAGAGGAACATCACACAGGCCAACTAATAGTGTGCGACAAATCGTGACTTATTTGAATATTTTCTATGCTGACTATAAAAAAAAAAGCTAAATTTGACTTCACCACACAATGAGCTGGATTTTAAACATACAGGAGAAACGGTGATGAGATGCAAAAAGATCCAGATTCCTCTGCAGAGCGTGAGGAGTATCTGTCCTCACACAGGT